AAAAGGGGGGGGGGGGGAAGGTCGACCGCACCCATCGACCCCCCACGGTACGCCCCTGCAGCCCAGGTGTGAATGCAAATAAAGTGGAATACAAGCTATGCGGCTCGGTTCCAGTAGATACAGAGAATATTTTGTCCTTCTTAACGCGTCCTACAAAATCGGAGAACAAGATCGGAGATCTAAAGATGCAATCTCTACCGTGCATCAATGGCGGCGCTGGATCTCAATAGAGATTCTTAAATAATATATAAGTTTGAAAGGCAAATGGGAAAAACCCACAAAACAGCAAATGGCCATATAATGCAAAACGATTTAAAATAAAATTAAAAATTATATCTAGCAAACTATATATTTACAATGAAGCAATGTTCAGCATTATATACCATGAAGTTAGCCCATTATTTTCCTGTGAAAAAATAAACTACAGAATCCCTGCAAGTGAAGAAGAAAAAAATAAAACAACAACAAAAAAAAAACCCCATCAATATCCTCTTTGAAGATATTTTCAAATAAGGGATTTACATTGATGCAACGATGTAAAGTTCAGCATTATTTACCAAGAAGTTAGCACATGATTTGCTTATGTTGCTGATCATGCGTGTAAGGCATGATAGAGGCATGCCAATGCTTTTAATAATGCCAATACATAATTTGTTTTTTAGTGATATTTTAAAGGTCCTTCACAGTATCATGGAACAAAGTACAGTATATCCAAGTATAAACAAAAACAAGTTGTGTTCATTTTATTACCTAGTGCCATTCCACTTGAATTGTTTACTTTCTATTTGTTATCTGCTTTTGTCTTTTTTTTTTGGTCTTATCTTGTGCTCATAACATATATACTATATATAAATGTTTATATACATTGGCTATTTGTAAGCATAGGCCTAATATAAATATAGTACTGTACTATATATATATATATTACCTTTTTGGGTGTTACAGTTACATATACATGTGACATTTCAATGATGCAAAAAAATTAAGTTTTTCTTTTTTGATCACCCTCATATTTTTACCATAAAAGCTTGATATATTTTAGCATAATAAAAAACAACCAGAAATGATAATAAAATATAATAAAGTTAATAACTCTCACCTTGTACACAATGGTATCTAAGGATAACGTACAGATATAGAAAGTTGGTCCTTGCTGTGGAATATTATGTGTAGATCTTTTACGCAGGATAAAAATCTACCAGAAGAATGGAAAATATCATATAATGTATCTTATTATATCAAATTCAAAAAGAAAAAAACAAATATTTAGATACTTTTATTAATAAAAATATATATATTTGTGTTGCCAAAGTCACCTGACTCAAAATCTAAAAAGCTTTAGATACTTGTTTTTCAGAAAGGCTACTTTTAATAAAATTCATACCTTAACCACGGACTGATTTTAGCCCTGTGGTTATCATTGTGCTAACTAAAATGAATAGGATTAATGACGGTTAGCAATAAACTGTAGAAATCCTGACTAACCTAGATGGCCTGGGCCCCTCTTCACTAAATTTTTCAAAAATATAGAAAAATGGAGAAAAAAAATTATATTCAAATTTAATTATGAGAGTGCTATTTCTGGTCATTTAGAGGTGACATAATCATAAATTTTCTCATCTCAGTCCCAGCCATTGTGGTGTTGAGGCGGTGTATATACATCCTCCATCTGTGAAAGTAACTCCCTGCACCCCTGTATTTCAAATCCTTGGATCTACCACTGCAACCAATGATTATGTCATTCTTACCTGGCGTCGGAAGACATCTTCTTGAAGGTCCACTGATGTAATGAAAACTTGACGTATGAAAGGCTTGTTCCTTTGTGCAGCTTCTCCAAGCATAGACTCCTCGCATGGTAACTGACGCCAGCAGAGAACCTGCAGACGATATGGGTTTGATCAGAATACATGCTCTCATACCAATACCATATTTAATACATACTTTAATTCAACAATAATAATAATAATTAGTAATAGAATAAAACATCATCATCATCAATTAGGATTGCTAAGTGTATAAGAAACGTAAGTTTACTCTACATTTGTCTTGGATTTTCTTCAATTTTGACTCTCACCCTTATGTTGTGCTTGGTAATGGAGCCCCAAGATTATGTATAGTGGAAATTATTGACCCAAAAACCCAATCAATGTCAATAATTAACTGATTAAAAATAATTTGAATTAAGAACTATGCATAGCATTAGGATTGAAAGTAGATAGGAAAGAAACCACCTGCCAAAAAGAACATGAAATAAAATGTGTTGATATAAGACAATCCAAATGTACTATGTTCATTGGATGTTTGGATTTTTTGGAAAAATAAACTACACAATCCCCACACGTGGAGAGGGAAAAAAAACAAAAACAAAAACAATCATTATCTTCTTTGAATATATTTTCAATTGATGGATTTACAATGAAGCAATGTTCAGCATTCTGTACCATGAAGTTAGCGCATGCTAAACTACAGAATCCCCGCAAGTGAAGAAGAAAAAAATGACACAACAAAAAAAAAAACCCCCCATCAATATCGTCGATATTTTCAAATAAGGGATTTATATTTATGTAAAGTTCAGCATTATTTACCATGAAGTTAGCACATGATTTGCTTATGTTGCTGATCATGCGTGTAAGGCATGAGAGAGGCATGCCAATGCTTTTAATAATGCCAATACATAATTAGTTTTTTAGTGATATTTTAAAGGTCCTTCACAGTATCATGCAACAAAGTATATCCAAGTATAAAAACAAACAAGTTGTGTTCATTTTATTACCTAGCGCCATTCCACTTGAATTGTTTACTTTCTATTTGTTATCTGCTTTTGTCTTTTTTTTTTGTTCTTATCTTGTGCATGTAAGGCATGATAGAGGCATGCCAATGCTTTTAATAATGCCAATACATAATTTGTTTTTTAGCATTTTAAAGGTTCTTCACAGTATCATGGAACAAAGTACATCCAAGTATAAACACAAACAAGTTGTGTTCTTTTAATACCTAGTGCCATTCCACTTGAATTGTTTATTTTCTATTTGTTATCTTTTGACATATTTTTCATGTGTATGTATGGGGGTGTGTATGTATGTGTGTCTGTGTGTGTGTGGGTGGGGGTGTGTGCATATGTGTGTGTGTGTATGTATGTATGTATACACACACACACATATATATATAGAAACATATTAATTTTTTAACTCAAACTCTTAATCACTTTTGCAAATGTTGACAGGAATGATTAAATTTGAAGTAGTTGCTAAGGTTGCATATTACTTTCAAAAATTCAAATCCTAACATTACATGGTTAGCAAGTTACTGAAATATTAATGATGAAACTGTAGAAGTGGTTTGGCGCAACGGGAATGGTTTGATTTTCCAACCTCGAAGGCGGGGTTTTAATCCCTCGCTGTGCATTTCACTTGTGTCCGTGAGCAAAGCAAGAGTAAGTTGGAGGAAAAAAATTACATAGATAAATAGATAATAAAACATGCGCGGATGAACAGCAGTTTGTGCCGTTGGCATCATTCCTTTGTCATTAGGTCAAGTGTAAAGTGTTTGTTTAGCTCTTTTCTTTTCATATTAATTTATGTTTTGTTGAATGACAAAGTAAGTATTCATTGACAAAGTATTTCAAGGCAGCAACCAATAGAATTTGCCCCTTAGGCATCGTTCCATGACTTGGGTAATAATGTGGAAAAGCATTGAGACATAGTTGTGTAGAACGCTACATAATGACCCACATATTATTATTCTTAATACAAATTGCATTTAATACAGTGTGTATATATGTTAATTTAGAACCGAAAAAAATATAAAACAGATGTTGTACTAGTGAAAATTCCTTCTGTATAAATTTCCAACTTATTAACAAGAAGCTTAGCTCAGTCAGCTAAACTGGAGGTAGTGACTGTGTGTGCACTGAACCGTGCAGATTTCTAGATCTCCGGTTCAATTCACATCGCTGTTCTCTTGTTTCAGGTGGAGAGAGCTAAAATGCAAGTTATGCACTGTCTTTCAGATGAGATGTTGAAGCCGTTGCTCCAGTGTGCACTATGGTTAAATAACACTATACTATTTGGAAAAGATTAGGGGATTGTCACCCAGTGTATTTTAATTTACTTTATTTATTTCCAGACGCAAATAATAAAAAACATGAAACACTTGAAACATGGAATATACAATACATTAACATCAAAACACGGCCTGAAGACTGCTTTAAAAGCAAACTTAATCACTGTCTTAAAAAGAAAAATTACAAAAAAACATGGAATATACAATACATTAACATCAAAACACGGCCTGAGGACTGCTTTAAAAGCAAACTAAATCACTGTCTTAAAAAGCGCTCCAAAAGGACTATTACACCATCAATTAACGGCTGTTAATAGATATGAATTTTAAAATGTTAACTTTAAAATTACCATAAAAACATTTTGAAATATAAATGATAAGAATAATATTGGTACACCAAGCTCAAGATAAGGTCTAATTAATGCATTAAAAATCTTAATTTTTTCTGATACTTTGTACAATTGTTTTAATTCAGCCTTTGGCTCCCATGTACAATTTTTGATGGTTTTGTTTTTTTTTTTAAATAAATATACCTTGAATATAAAAATATATTAATAAGAACATTACTGTCTCTACAAGAAACAAGTTGTCTAATGAAACCACACATTTTGGAGGCTTTAGATGTAGCATTCTGAACCTGCTCGCCCCATTCCAATTTACTATTAATTATTACACCACGATATTTTATGGATGATACTCTGGGTAATGCAAAATTTTCTAAGAAATATGCAGGCAAATTTTCTTTATTAAGCCTAGAAGAAATACTTACATCCATGACCATGCATTTATTTACATTAAGTTTCATACCATTGTTATTGCACCCAGAACAGACATTATTGAAATCATTTTGTAAAAAATCTCATCATTAATGAATTACTTAACGATGAGATACCAAATGTATTAATTTCATAATTATTTTGTTTTTCATGTCAGAACAAATACAAACAATATTAAGTAATAAAAATTGTGATTACCTTAAGTTTGCATTCATTAGCAAGCTCTTCAAACAGGTGTTGGGCTAGCTCTGCTGTTTCCTGCTCCATGAAGATGATACCTGTTGCATACTGGCCAACATCTGGTAAGTTTAAACCATAATTCGATCTGGTGACAAAAAAAAACAAAACATATAGAATATCAATCTCAAGATCCTGGGTTCGAATCCTCTCAGGTGACATGACCGAAAGGCAACAATACTATTTATGGAGTGTAACAAAACTTTATTTATGTACAGCGTCAGGTGATCTCAAAGGGATTTCCAATTATACTTACAAGTACTTATTTTTTGAATTTTCTTAAATTGCAAAATTTGTTTCTTGTTTTTACTAAAAAGGAGCCCAAAATATTTGCATGATGCATCAAAAGAGTACTTTTCATCATGCGATAAATAATAGATTTGATACATATGAGGCTTGTGATCCCTTGTGTTTATTTATTTCATACTCTATTATTTATTTCATACTCTATTATTTATGTTCCAAAATATTCTCAAGTTCCATGATACACCACTGAAAAGAAGAGGCAGAAATATTCCATCTATTCTCGACATGGTTGTGAAGAAAAGCCACTTAGATAAAGGAAACTTTATCAGGGATACCTTCAAAAAAAAAATTCAAGTAACAACCACCTCATTTTTAACTGCATTGATTTTAACCCATTTCATATTAATTTACTGCATTATACTGTTCTCCTTTATGATAATGACAATTGTTGTTTCACTTCAATTTATTTAGTTCTAAAAGCAGTATCATTCTAATGACAACCTTAAGTCAATGTCTGCCAAATGTCTTTGAAAAGACGGCTATTTGTACCAGTACCAGTTAAGCATCAAGGAAACCAAATTCAATGTTCATCTTGTTTTGATGTCATGACAATAAAGTTCATCTTTAAATAAAAATTGATTTTTAAATATATTCTTTTTCTTTTTCCACATTGTAAGCTTTAAAATGATGTGTCTTTTACTGCAATCGACTTACTATTGCCTAAGTGAGTAAAAGTATTACAGCTTCTCTGTACTAAAGTATATATTACTGCCACATTCTTAGGCTAATTACTTAGTTTAACTATTAGCGACATTACGCTGGTTTTGGAATGGCAAGACTCATACGGTTGATAAAAAATTATTACCGACTAAGATTTCTATATTTATGTCACTTTAATTGGGGAACACAACAATGGTATTTATATTTTATTAGTAGGTTCATTTCTTTTTATTACTGAAGCAATTAAATTTGACTATTATTCTTCAAATTGTGAACTTTCACAAATACAAAATTAAAGCAATTTAAAAAGGTCAAAATTTAGAACAGGAGGAACTATCTCAAAATGATGAAGACTTAAACGGATGCTAACTAGATTAAACTAGTTCTGACTGGATTAAACTGACCCTATCTAAATTAAACTGAATCTAACTGGATTATACAATCAGATTTCAAGTTTCATTAATTGTATGACTTATATCCACACTGTCTGTCATCAACTGTATGCAGTATTTTTCCATACTTAATATTTGAATTTTAAAACTTGAGTGACTTACTTAAGTTCATTTTTGTACAGATCATGAGGAATGGCTGCTAGAATACCAGCACCATCTCCAACATTTTCATCAGCTCCACAACCCCCTCGATGATTCATCCTAATCAACATCATTTCAGCATCGCGTAGTACCTACAAAATACAAGATAATATTGATATCAGCATCACTTAGTAACACTAACCAGATACATGTAATAACCAGATCAAAATAATACAGCATATGAGCTATGTAGGATTCAGGGTGTTAAAAAAAACACTCTTTCATTTCATATATACTATTAAAAAAATTGAGCATCATATTCCATAACAGAAAGGCAATGGAAGATATGGAGGGCAGTGGCATCTCTAAGAGTTTTGACATGAGGGTGGTGATGGGGGGGGGGGGGGGGGGGGGAGGTTGGCGATGGGTGGATTGCAAGTGAAGTGCTAATTTGGAGAATGAGAAGGTAACTGCTTGACTGCAGCTGTTGTGCTTAGGGGAGGGTCAATGTAGTTTTGAGCATTATATTTGGCAGTATTTTTCTCAATCACACAAAAAATCTTCCAGTCAAATACTTATTTGTTAAATGTTTACATTGTGATTGTATCATGACTTGACAAGTCTTAACTATATAAACAAATATACCAGAAAAGATCATTTGATCTGTCCATCACTGTAACATTGTGAACTTTTAAAGTATACAAACTATATCCAGTGATATGATTGTAGAGAGCATCAGTCAAAAGCATGACCAGAAGAAACGCAATTGGACAGACTTAAAACAATGATAGAATCATGCCCTAGCTGCATGCATTTCCATATTATTTATTCACTATAAAGCTAACACAATCCTAATTATGACTGTGCTTTTGAAATACTGAATACGTATTGATAAATATTATATGTACTGACAGATGTACTGAATTGATGTATTTTCCCCTCAAAATGACAAAATGATAAACAATAATTTTGAAATTAACTTGCTCATTTTGTAGAAACATACAAATTTAACTTGAACATAGAAATTATTAATTTTATAAAATAAAGTACACTGATTGATTTTTAAAATGAGTACCATGATTTTCATACTGGAAAGGATGAAAAAATAATAAAAACACTTCCAGCAACTGGAAGTGTTTCTATAATTTTTTGCTGTAAACTATCATGAGTAAACATTTTTTAAATAAACTAATTTCTATGTTCAAGGTGATAATTATCATGTTACTGTACTTCAAAATGAGGAAGTTAATTTCAAATATGATTTTTATGATGTTTATGGTGTTGTTTTTTTTTGTATTTTTCATGGGACAAGATATTTTTAAAACATAATGGGATAGTTTTGTTAGACAGAACAAGCCATCCATAATCAATTATCAATAAATATTAATATTTTAATTTTAATTAATCACTAATCAAATATTGTTCGGGCTTTCGCCCATTCCCTATCCGGGCAATGCATGATGTTTTTCTCCTATATGCTTTTTGCCAAATAAATATTATTATTATATTATTATTATCATTTAAAATCAATAAATCTTAATCAAGGAGCTTGATAAGAGATCAATATTAAATATTAGAAGTTACCACAATAGCTTACATTAAAGCTTACAAGTAAAACAAACTTAGAGATTTTCTACATTTCTTATATTACTTTTATATTCACCTACCTATTTATATATTTGTATGTACTGTTTGAGAGCCTCTTTTAGTCAATTTCGTTCTTAGGGCGAAACTTGTTTTTTCTACTTTTGTTGGCGAACTCACCGGTCACCAATAATGATGATTTCGAATAAAAATAAAATTTTATTTTTGGCCAAACAAAAATAAAAGTTTTTCTTTATGTTCATTACACCCACTGCTGTCTTAAATTTCTTCCTAATTATATAAATTTAAAACATTTAACCATCCCATTACTACATTGTTTGCATTCACCAATAAAATTTTATTTTTATTTTCTCCTCCATGTGAATGTTTTTAGCAAAACCATTTGCTCACATAAGAAAACAGAATTTTCCTTTTATTTTTTGTTCTGCCTCCTCTGATAAAAAAAAAAATAGGTTTGAGAAACAAGGTATAAAAAAAAGTCTCACTTAGAGCCCACCTCATGAAATATTGTTGAATAAATAAATAAATTCTAGGGAAAATGATTGTGTAAATTTGGCATTTATGACATCCAAACATATGGCAACAGCTGCTGTCCTTTGTAATTCAACTTTAAGACAGCTGGAAGAGCTGTAGGTTTATCCTTCAATCTTTGCTTCCTCCCAAACTATGCATAACCTTCACACATTCTCGATCATGAAACATATAAAGTATCTTTGCAATGTCTGTACCTGTTTTGTACCTATTTTAATTGTTGTTTAGTTTCACTCATGATACTGCTCAACAATGTTCCTGTGCAGTACTAACATGGTTTGAGGTGAATTCTACTTCCCGAAGTGTTAGATGATTGGGAAACTACCTCCCGACACAAAGAGGAGGGGTGTAGTTTGCAGGTACAGTAGGGGTGTGGTAGTCGATTTTTTGGTAGTATGTATTTTCCCTGTGTACCAGTAAATTATGCATGCGCAAGGAAGTAGTAGCAAATACCGCACCCCATACCAAGTGGATTTGACCCATGACATATTGTTATTACCTAATAATAGTTGTGCAGTTGCAAATACCGCACCCCATACCAGGTGGATTTGACCCATGACATATTGTTATTACCTAATAATAGTTGTGCAGTTGCAACTACTGCACCCCATACCAAGTGGATTTGACCCATGATATCATTGATTTATATTATTCCCTTTTTAAAAAACAAACTTGTAATGTTTTATTGAAAATACTGCACAGAAATATATAAACTTAAATAATTCATTGATTCAATAAGGAGACTATAAAATTACTGTTACTTTTTAATTGAGCAAAAACAAAAAAAATACAGAATTTTAAATAATTGCTTTTATTCTTAAAGTTAATAGTTTTAAATTCAAATGATTAAAATGAGGAAAAAATTGCTTTCAACCATTTTAAACAACTTTTCTTATATTCTTGTTCATCGGGCTGAAAAAAAGTGCTAACCGCGTGACCGGTGGTTGGGGACATCATGAATGTCCCCGAGGCATTTGTGTGGAAAAAAATATAAAAAATAAACTGTTGGTCATATAGAGTAGTACAAATAACATTTGACATGCTATTAAAAAAACTACAGATAATTTACTGTTTGCACAAAACAACTTTACAACCATTTTATATGGGTTTCGTATACACGTTGGCTGACCCCCCCAAAAAATGCAATATTCTGAACTGAATCTACCTTGTGTGACTTTTCTCCACTGATGTTGACAACAAAGCCAACACCGCAAGCGTCTTTTTCAAATTCAGGCTGGTAAAGCCCTTGAGCAGGGGGAAGACCATTTGCCATCAGTGTCGGAATTGAAGCCTTTGCATCGGCAATCCCACATGCCCCTGGCTCGGACATCATTATTATCAATTATCAACCTGAAATATAAAGTGATATAAATGAGTTTACATTACATTACATTATGTAGTGTAATGTAATATAAATGAGTTTACATTACATAAGAGGTCCTTGTCTCCTGTTAGCCACTCTCCCATTAGTGTACTGTATATATCACATACATGGATTTTTAAAATAAATTTAAAAAAATAAAAATATTAGTTAATCAATAACAAATTTTAATTTTCAGTAATTGAAATTGAATTGTACTGGATAGGAATTATTTCCGCATTCAATCAATTTTCTCACAACACCTCCCCCCCCCCCCCCACAACGCCCCCCCCCCATTATAAATGAGTTTACATTACATTACATTATGTAGTGTAATGTAATATAAATGAGTTTACATTACATAAGAGGTCCTTGTCTCCTGTTAGCCACTCTCCCATTAGTGTACTGTATATATCACATACATGGATTTTTAAAATAAATTTAAAAAAATAAAAATATTAGTTAATCAATAACAAATTTTAATTTTCAGTAATTGAAATTGAATTGTACTGGATAGGAATTATTTCCGCATTCAATCAATTTTCTCACAACACCTCCCCCCCCCCCTCAACAATGCTACCCCTGTATCATGTAGGCCTACGTATACATGTGTTTGCTTTATTTAATGTGAATGTAGTGCATAACCTGAGTCTGAGGAAAATTAATAATACTAATAGGCTCAAGCATGCAGTGCTAACTAATACTGTACTGATAAAACTAGGCAACATGAATGCCCAACAAATTACTGTTAGATATATTTTACTTAGAATAAAATCCACATTATTTTAGTCTTACCGTGAAGAGTTTTCCTAAGGGTAGGTGCTTACGCCATACACAACATCAACACATTCTTACAGCAGAACTAATAATAAACCCCAAAAATGTTGGTCTTAGCCTGTTATCTTATTATCTTTAACTTTAGATTAGAGAGGTTTAGACGATCACATTCTAACATAGGGTATTTCCTAATTGTAAATTAATACCTATACGTACAATTCACTAAAAATACCTCTATAAGTTACTATTAAAATATGCAAACACATCTTTAAAAACATAATTATCTACAAGACATTTCTTCCACTGAATAAAGGTGACATACAAAATATCGAAAAACAAGCGATCATAACCCGTTGTCAGTGGTGGCTGCCGCGGGCTCAGAAGTAAACAATAAAGAAAATGGCACAAAAAGGTAAACTAACACTTTCATACTATTATTGACGCGGGTAAAACAAAACTCGCATACAACCTACATTCAATATTAGTCCTATCGTTGTTTATGTTATACTTATTCACATTTTTCAATGAAGATGTACCTACCAAGCTAAACGTGTGTCGTTTCTAATTTTCTTCACAGACTAGAGATCTGCACTTGGATGGATTTATTTCACATCAAAACATAAGCCGTTCACGGCTCACGAACCGATCACGCTTTTCGCATGCTTCTTATCTGGAGGCAATGGATCCAACCAATCACAACGCAAAAGTATGGAAGGCTAGCTTATTAGGAAGTTGGATTACCTTTAGAGAAGATGACCAAGAACATTTCAGCCAATGATTGAAGAGTATTAATCGTGGCAGAAGCATGTTTTGCTTGGCGCTAATGAATGAGTCTACGATACGCTACATTCCGGTTTGTCAACAGACGGTGCTGGGAGTGAAGTGTACAGTAATATAAGAATATTGTACTGCATAAATTAAAATCGAATGATGAAAATAAATATATATTAACACAAAAAGGACGTCATTTCTGAATTCTATATTAGCTGTTCTCTGCCATTAGAAAAGCTGATACTTGCATTTCTTTCATTTCAACTGATGCTTGGCCATTCGATTGCAGACACACCGGCTTGTGATTAATATTTTTGAATACCCGGCGATGGCAATGCTGTTCAGCCTCTGAAAAAGGTCTTATTTGGTCTCATCCTAAGCCTAGGCCTTGTGGTGGTCTGCAGAAGTCGGACTTTATTTGTCTCGAGATTGCTTTATTCTGAACATTGTTTATATTAGTTGATATGCCTTACAACAAACAAGCAGACACTCAAGAAGGGTCGTTTCTGTTGCCCAGTTCAAGAATTCAGACATCTCAATTAGGCCCAGGTTTAGGTCTAGGCCAATATTCGGAGCATGGTGCCCCAAATAATGGTGACAATCCATATTTGGTTGGTAGGCCTATTCAAGAACGAAATGAATGGAAGGACAATCTAGAGAAATCCTACCTACAATCGATTGAGCAGGGGACTTATGAGTCGATAGGAATGCCTATTCAGAGAGAAGAAATTGTAAGAGAAAGGACGTGTAAAGATGCGGGAAAAGATGAATTAGTCGTGAATAATAATGCTTTTGGCCTTGATGCGGTGGTCGATGATTGTGTTCAGATTAAGTACTGTGTTGAAGGCCTAAGTAACTATGAACTGGCTGTAAAAGGTGAGTTGTCTGTGTAGCCTAGGCACTCCCCGGTCCCCCTCCTGTATCTTTTTTTCCATTCCCCGTTTTGCATTTTAATTTATTCCAGCATGCAAATAAACAGATATGAGAAATTGACGTGAATAAAGAGGAGCCAGGCCTTGGCCCAAGGCTAGGCCCCAGTCTGATTATTGTAATTGAAAAAAGAGTTAAGGATGGCTATTGTTACACCAGTTTTTATACCAATTCTTAATTCTGATTGAATAATTGTTATTAACTTATTCCAATCCATAACCTACCATTTGTAAGAATAAAGATGAATGTTGGTCTAGATAAGACTTCTTCATTGTATTCTTTGTCTCTTTTTTGTTGTAGGTATTCATGTTGACGAGCGTATTCTACCAGGTTTCAAGTACAGAGTTCGAACGCTTGGACTGAAAAACCGATACTTACTCAATGGAAAAGCACTCCATCTTATAAATATTGGCCAAGGATATGGCAAAAGACTGACTTTTGAATCAAATCTTCACAATATGAACACAAACTATTTTTGGTCAGATTCCAGCGATAAAGGATATGGATTCAGCATTGTAGCTGTTGAACACGGCGACAAATTTACCGTATGTAGCTTAGAGCGGCGGCCAATCGGACATGCTGTTATAGAGGATGTTGATCCATCACAAATTGAATTACATTCTGAAGTTATTGGCAAGAATATTACTAAGGAAGTCAGTTTGAGAATGCGGTGTAGAGTGCGATACACCTGCGAGCCTCATGGAATGATGTCTTTAAGAGCAGATGAAATGGTTCTTGTCAGCGGATTGGCAGTGGTCACAAAGAGCCAAAACCAATCTAAAGCAATCACAGAACTGATAAAAAACATTGAATTGATGTCGATTGGACCCTGTTTATTTGTAAAGGAGCAATGATATGTTTTGCCATTGTTAACACTTACTGTATGGTTGTCCGAGGTTTAGACTTTGTATGTTGAAGCTTTAAATGACTATGAATAAGGACAGTAATCTTGAAGTCTTTGTTCACTCAAAATTCATTCATAAATTAATACACATACAATATTTGACTTTCCAAGTGAGCGATTTCTTCCAGTTGAATTCAGAAATTAATTGCTTCCGAAATCTGTAGTGCAGGGCACTGGAAGTAATATTTATGAATTATATTGATGGCTTGAACTGGGTTATAACCTTTCTGGTTCATGAAGTTTTAATTGGTTGTTTTAAATTGTGTATTAATGTTATACTGAGAATCAAATTAATTTTAATGGATGTCATTTATAATTACCATATTGAAATTGTATATATATAATGAAGACTAATAAAGATAGATGAAAATCAGAATGACTGTTTTGTGTTTTAGTATACAACCAAATTAATGGGCAAAAATAACTTTTTAGAATATGGGTAAATATCACGTTTGTTGTCTAAACCTGATAATGTCAAGCACTTCAGCAAATTGGCATGCCAGTATTTAAAAATACTATTTCTTGATGTGTCTAATCTGTAATAAATAAAACAAGGTCACATTAATTAAACAGTGTTAATATTTAGGAAGATAATTATATTTAAACATATAATTGCCACACAAAAATGTGCAGAGGCAAAATTTAAAAATATACATACAGTATAAGCTAAGGCCTAAAAAAAAATGTTATGTTGGTTTAACGGGCCCAAAATATAGGGTAGGTAGAGATTTTTTTCTCTTTTCTTTTTTTTTTAAATGCTGCAATATTCAGTAAAGGCCTTGAAATCTATCAAATCAATTAAATTAGCCTTTACAGCCCCTAATTGTCATATTTTTCGCCTTGGACCTCTTTTGAAACATTTTGGGTGACGCCCAACCACATTCACTTTGCTCACGTAAACTTGCATCGTGAAATTTAAATAAGAATGTATAGGTGCAGCCAATTTTTTAGGGTCGGTCGGGTTACGCCAACATAACTTTTTTTCTTTAGGCTTAAGTATCAACACTTAAGCCTATTTTCAGGGAGCAGGAAGTGCTACCTCTTTATAATCCATAATCCATAATAGGCAAAGTGCTTATTGTATGATTGATGATTGCCTGTGCAAAAATTCAAAGGAGTGAATACCAAATAGTGAGCCCTCTATTGACACTTTATACAAAAAAACTACTGTATACAGTTGAACTTGCCTAAGTCGAATCCAAAGTAGCATTGAAAAATTATTGCGACTTACGATAAAATCCGACTTGAAGATAATTAATGGAAAACACAACATTTTGGCATGTAAAGTTAGTTTACTCAATAATTCCTCCATGGTACAAGAATAGAGAAAATTTTCTCTATGGTATAAGTACGGACCTCCTCCACTACAGTACGTTTACGCTACCCAGTACTTAACTTGCAAGTACAGTCCCGCCATGGGTTTAGCCAGAAAAACTAAATAGGCCATCCAAAATGGAAGCCAGTGGGTGTGGCACTGAGCCCATCCCCACCGAATATTGGTACGAAAACAAAGTACATTCGATCAATAAATGTTTTTATCAAACTTAAATATGATTTAGCTTTAGTTTAATATAACATTCGATAGATTTGAAGAATATCGTCGCTCACATCACGAACTAACACAATTAAATTCAATTGTGTTAGTTCGTGAAATCAAAAAAGCGCGTCAAAATACGCACTGCTGTCGTTAAGGACTTTTTGTGTGGTAAAGAATACAAAATTGCTTAACAACCAATACGCGCTCGTTTTGACGCGCTACTGTGATTTCACGAACTAACACAATCTACTTTGATTGTGTTAGTTCGTGATGTGAGCGACGATATAAAGAATTTGCTAATGGTAGACCAGCCCCAATTAGGCTAAGCTGAACTGATTAGGCCAAGCCATCACAGTAAAAGTGGCCGTCCTAAATAATTGTAGGCCGTACAAAAATGGCTGGACGGCTCACTGGCTAAGCCTATGCATCCCGCAGACAGGACAAACAACTTCAAAATGAAAAAGACTGCAAATGTTGATATCTTGATATTTACAAATTTAATTTTTGTAGACAAGAGCAAAGTTCAAATCGAATATTTGATTCTAGTATAGAAGAACTCAACATTTTGACAATACAGGTGGAAACAGAATAGATGCTCAAAATACACATTCACATTGGGTATATGTTTACATAAAGGAACTTAAAAAACAATTCACTACATTAATACTGGAGTTTTCTCTTAGAAATCAGTTAACACAAACACATGCCACTCAGTTGACTGTTACAGTTTGTAACATTTATACTTCTATCAAATAAAAAATGTTGGTACACATAAAAAAATGTACCTCATAGGACCACATATCTATATTATAAATCTTTGCTTAAACCACATATTCATTATACAATATATTTTGTATATAGAATTTGTGTGTAAACCAATGACAAAGGCTTTATATAAAATTATGCCTGAAATTATGACCTACCTACAGGAGTTCCATTGTCTATTATTAATGGTGGGATTGACAAATACATACAATGTAGCAGTTATATGAAATGTATAAAAAAAACAACTTTTAGTGATAAATAGTGCTGGACGATGGATTAAGTTACAACAATACTACAGTAATATTATATCAAAAATTGCGGAAAAGATATGCACCAAAAGTAGAAATCAAAATATAACAGGCTGATCCAAAGTTCAATATATCGCTCCTGATATAACTATGTATAAAGCAAAGTTTAAGGTGATGATGTGATGAACATAAAGAGCACCACATTAGATATGCAAATTATTATGCAAATATCATATATTTACATATTAATGTTTACATTAACAAATTAATGTATACACTTACATATTAATGTCAACATTTACATATAAATGCAAATTATGCACTTAATAAACATATATTATATATATATATATATTATTTAAACCAGTCACTCGTCGCAAAAATCAATTTTTATTAATACAGGGTTAAAGATGAAGAGCTATAAAATGGTAAAAGAATCATCTAAATCCGACATTTCCTTATGAAGTTACAAGCGTTCAAAGTTTATGATTTCTGGCATTTCTCAAGACAAAAACCATCACCAAATTGTTAGAATTACATTGAAAATAGAGAAAATAACAGCATGCCATGATGTATAGATATATAAAGGTTAGTTTAGTGCAATAAAATAGATTTCAGCATATTTTGAAGCATGATTTGCAACGAGTGACTGGTTCAGTATATATACTGTCTCTTATCCCCATCTAGATGTGTATAAGAGACAGAACTAACACAATCTACTTTGATTGTGTTAGTTCGTGATGTGA